ATAACTGTATAACTGTATAACTGTATAACTGTATAACTGTATAACTGTATAACTGTATAACTGTATAACTGTATAACTGTATAACTGTATAACTGTATAACTGTATAACTGTATAACTGTATGACTGTATGACTGTATGACTGTATGACTGTATGACTGTATAACTGTATAACTGTATCACTGTATGACTGTATAACTGTATAACTGTATAACTGTATAACTGTATAACTGTATAACTGTATAACTGTATAACTGTATAACTGTATAACTGTATAACTGTATGACTGTATGACTGTATAACTGTATAACTGTATAACTGTATAACTGTATAACTAATAAGTGACGAGAGACAGTTACTAATAAGTGACGAGGGCGCAGAAAGAGAGGAAAAGTTAAACAAAGAAGGACACCGAAGAGCTGAGAAAGGAAGAACAAAGAACAGGCAGTGATGACAGTGGGGTGAATCATGACCAACAATCTGAGACCAATATGATTGTACAGAACACACGTCAAAAGACCAAGGCAACCGCACCACATACAAATCACGCCCTGACGACCCGGACTCTTGCGTGTACCACATACCATAGGTGTTACCCATCACACCAAACTCACACGTACACTAGACAATGTATGACATCAAACAACAGACTCTACAAGACAAGAACCATGTATAAAAAAACGTGATAGTAATAAGCGATCCTCACTTGTGTTACCGCTAAAAGTCGTATTAGAGGAGTAGACTGCAAAGCATCTTACTGGTTGTGCTCCACCATGATAATGAGAGTGTGCAAGTCGCTTTCCAACAATAATGATCTCCTACAGCTGTGAGCCCTTGGGTGCCATCGCACTCTGTGGAGAAGTCTATGAAAAAGCACAATGAATGTGTGCTGCCCAACTAGAGAATTGACCAGACTTCAAGATGATACATGAATCGTTTCTGGGTCTTTTGTCCTCCCATATGCTTCAGCAATGATGTGTGGTTCTATTCACGTCCTATTGCATGTTGACGGGAATTGGACATCTTCTTTAGTTTAATGTTTTCTTCTCTATGCGCTGCATGATCTGATTCAACTTGATGGTTTACTGTAAGAGTTGAAAGTGTGACGAGTCTAAAGTTTAGCAATTTGCAAAACATTCCCACTTAGCAGGCGCAAAATTTAGCAATCCTGCCATCACACACCTGTCTTCTACATCTCTAGTACAGAGGAGAGAAGGAATAACATGCGTACTAGTAGAACGTTTATTGAGTTTAACAATGGATTCTTTCTTATGAAAACGCAAGACTTTGTGCCCCATTAGAAATTCAACTCTCACAGTATTCGAATTCTTTGGCAGTTCATCTTCATGACCACTGATGCTGCAGAGAAATTGCAAAAAATTAAGTGTGGTAGTTAAACTGTACATTCGCCTATCCACAGAGCGACTGTTCATACTCACGTATTGCTCACTGTCTCTGGTGTCTCTAGTGTTATCACGATCATTACACACACAGTCCTGTTAGTCTGAGCCTTGATATTGATATACAGTCAGACCTCGCATAACCGCACACATCTGTTTTCCACAAAAAATATCCGGATAGGCGAGGGAATCGAACACGCATACTGTATGTATGCATGGCATATGCTGTAAATTGGTAACCAACCATTTTCTTCCGGATGGCGAGGGATCCGGATACAAGAGTACCGCATAAGTGAGATCTGACTGTACCCAATTTATGCAATGAGATCTATGAATATGTGTGTGCATGGAGGAAGCAGACACACAAGGGCAGGCACACTCTATGCTCACAAGTGCTGCCATGCGTACACCAGTCAGTATAATTGCCTGCTAGACCTCTCATCCTATGACATACAGACTTGACTCGAGATCCACTGCGCATAGTAGCAACTTTTGGAAACGTTCCCTATTACATGAAGGGATCATGAAAAGCTGCTCATCCAAGTCTGTTATTCGTGACGTACCATTAATCATACATTGATGAACTGCTGTACTACAAGTGTCCACTGCTCATAGCAACACATGAAACAGCACTCCAACAATAAAACATTGCCTAGCAATCCAAAAATAGAGATGATGGGTTAGCCTTGAGGCTAACAACAGTTAGTGATAAGAATGATGCACTGCTCTCTATAGCGCGCTTCAACTGAGTTTGCTTTACGTGTGCATTCAACGGCTGCGGATGTGCTCCCAAACCGCCTTAGTTACAGTAGACTCGTACGCCCAAGAACGTAGCGCCCAAGAACGTCCAGGCTAGAAATCTAAGAACGCCCCAGCCTGGATTTAAGAACGAACTCCAAGATTTTTAAGAACGCAACGTTTTTTGGTATTGCACGTTTTGCAAGCGGATTGGACCTTCATGATCTTGTCCGAGTACGAAAAACAAGTCCGCAACCACAAACTCTTGTCGGGTCCTCGCGAAAACATCACCCAGTGCAGCGCTACATACTACACGTGCATGTAAAGTTAAAGTGTACAACCGGTACATGTTGCGCAAAGTGCATTGTACATGAGCGTCACGGGTCATGTTGGACGCGTAAGAACGCGAAATAAGAACGTAGCCTGGGGCGCTGAAAAATAAGAACTTTGCTAGGCTGGCCCTCTGAAACCGCGTTCTTGGGCGTACGAGTCTACTTTATCTCTTGCTGCGTTGACTTTGGCTCACCCTTTCCTTTTTTGGGTGACTGAGCAGCCATGCATGGGACTCAATGTGCCACCACCCTCCCATTCACATTATACTTCAAGTGAGAAGAGCTTCCATTAACTGGTGCATATGCTGCTACTATCTGTGCTTAAATTGCACACTATTGGTCAATTGTTTTTGTGACATAAATAGTATAGTCATTGCATCCGATTGCAGGTTTCATTGCCGCACAAGCATCAGCGATTGATTTGGTTGTTTGCAATGCCAATTGCTTCACCCTGGTTGGCTGTTCGCAACGTGGATCAGGAACCTTTTCACCTGGTCCAGGGCAATGTTGCTGCTCACTCATGAGCAATTGCCTATTTGCAATGCCAATTGCTGCACCAGGTAATCGAAACCAGCACACTGGTGTAGCCAGACTATGCTTAAGCCGTGTTATGAGAATACACGGGTATGCAACAACTTCACTCTGTGGCTTTCCATTGCATGTAGTCCCTCGGCTATCTCTAATGTACCTTAGGACCTGATTTCAACTTTCATTAAAATGTGACGTTAAAGTTACTCAAAGAAAACGCGACCGCGATCGTGAAGGCAATGAAGTCAAAGACGAAGTCGATCTTGAATTTTTTTGTTTGCACGTTTGATCGATCAATCGATCGATTGTAGGTAGTCAGAATGGCGAGTAACGATGTAGGATTGAGTTTGTCGGTGTGCCGCATGAGGACGCGTCTCTCCTAGATGAGCACGACGAGATGTTCTACTGCGATGTCTCCCCGGGTACGATGACAGTGAACGCGATGATTGCAATGACGGAGACAACAACCCGATCGCACCTGCGGCAGAAAAGCGCCAGCTCCGTCCGTCTGACAATGACGAAGATGTGAGTTACAATGACTTGGAGCAGGAAGGTCCGCGTGTCGAGGAAACCCTAATCACCGCAGAGATAGTGGATTGGATGTCAATCGGATGCAGCTGCCCTAGTGACAATCACTTTGCTGCACTTGACAAGGACCTCTTGAAAATCTTGTCATGTCGCACTGCCAGCTGAAGCGCTGCTCTCGCCAAAGTCACACCCACTCTTCAAAAAGTACGGACTGGATGAACTGGCTGCCTCAGTGACTGGCTGCATGATTTTTCGAAAATGGATTTTCGGCTCTTTCCACAGTTTGGGAGCGCATACACGTATTTGAATATATTTCATGTGTGTATTTTTGTTTTCTGCTGCTCTCGCTGATTATAATTATTTGAAAATTTTCCACATGTGTAGTTTTGGTTTTTGCTGCTCTCGCTGATCTCGCCATGTTGACTAGATCTTCTCACACTCCATCACACTCTATCTTCCTTTGCCATGGAGCCTGCTGACAGTACAAGACAGTAGTTCGACAACCTCATCTTCAGCCGTTGGATCACTCGGTCCACCATCAGTCCGTCCTCGTCATCGAACCGCGCCCAGATTCAGTTTGACCTGCGCATGGATTTGATCCTGCTCAGGCAACCCCTACATGTATTTTGTGCTCAACCCCTTTGTTCGCGGCTCTGTGGGATCCGAGGAGACTGCAAAAGTTCTAGCCTTGTCTGACCCAAAATTTGGTGGTATCACCAGGAAGTTTGTCAGAGAACACCATGAACACACGCTGCTTCTGTTGGACCAGCACGCCTCAAAACCGAATATGCAAGATCCGGTTGTAAAACGATTTCGGTTTTGGCGCCTTCGACTCCCTCCATTTTGTTTTGCATGGCAACCCTTGGAAATCGAATCAGATTTTCGGAATGCAAAACACTGAAAATGCCGTTTTTCGGCACGCACTTTTTTTCGGAAAAACACAGTCGAAAAACATTCCGAAATTCGGTATGCAAAACCTCTCTAGTAGAACCACCATCATAATAAAAAGCCGAATTGCCAGGTATGAAAGCATTTTTTCTTTGAAGAACAAACAAATCATGAAAAATTTCACTAATTATGTGATGGACAAAGAAGAAAAGGGGATAATAGTATAGCAGTTGGTGATGGACAATGATGGAAATTCAAAAAACCTAGTTATTGTACAGCTCTCATCAGGAAGAAAACATTGTTCTAAATAACAAATTAGGCCGGAGGACTAATATTTTGAATTTCTTAAGTGAGAAATAACGATGTATAAAGGCTATCATCCGCACCCTGACACTCTCCTATCTCAACTCACTGCCTGACACTCTCCTATCTCAACTCACTGCCTGCACCTTCACTTCCTGTGCTGTACCCCTCTGTACTCTCATCCTCCCTGTCCAATCGCCTATCAAGCCTGCTGCAACACTCTGTTCACCTCTTTGTTGACTGTATTCCTTGTTGGTGTGGAAATCAAATGTGTTTCTCTTCCAGGTCCTACATCAAGATGGGTCTTACTTGAAAACGATGGGTAACGGTGCTATCGGTAACTCGTATGGTGTTGTAGCACTGTCTCTGCCCCAGCATGGTATTTGTTATGCTGTAACCGATATCAATGACGGTTGTGTGAGAGTAAGTTATTGCTTGTGTGGTGTTTATTGCTGAGATTTCTCAGAATTCTAATTTGATGGTTGCTATGATTAGCCCCAACATGGACTTTTTCTCTGTTCTCACAGCAGAGCAAGTAAATAGGTACAGCATTTGTTTCGTATCTGTACGTGTGGTGCGAAAGGTGCCATATATTTTTCTAAAACTCCTCCTTTTCCCAACACAACACCAGCACAACACAAAAACCTCTAGGAGAAAAAATATGTAGTACAGATAATGCAAGTTAGCAGTGAAGAGAGAAAGAGAAGAACAAGAGGAAGAACAAAATCACCAGCACTTAGTCCAGGAAAAGACACATGGAATAAGGCATACAAAAGGGCGGCAGAACAACCAGTAATATCTCGTCGTGGCTGAAGCAGCTAATGCAACGACAGCCACCACGAAGTGCATGAAATAGATCTGAACATGAAGTGAAGAAAACAGCAACTCCAACAAAGAAACAAAACAAGATCAGCTACGTGACTAACCACAGCGTAAACAGCATTCGGCCTTTGAAAGTGTCTGCATTGATATTCACCATCACCATTGTGCGCTGTAGCCGATGACACACATCTACTCACTTGCCCAATACAAGGCACAAGAGGTTTCTTCGAGCATTGAGGTTTTATTCCTTCTGGCAGATGTTTTGGTCACTAAGTCTTCATCAGAGAAGGTTGAGTTGTTGAATGACTTGAAAAGAAACAATCACCTAGTTTATACTGACTCTTCCATGACTGTATGAACGTGAGCTAAATGAGACATGCGCTAGAAGAGAGAGCCGATGGTGCAGTGTAGATAGGGAGAGCATGGGGTTGATGCCAGGTGAACTACAAGTACTAGCATGACTGCTGTATCCGTGCTGTGTTGCAGTATCCGGCAGTAACTATCACCTCTTTGCAGAGTGTCCCATGATTTCAGAAACCGGTTAACATGTTAACACCTTGCATTCACACTTCGAGTATCAAGTGCACGCTCATCAGCGCACTATCTCTCATTTCAAGTGCCAATATAACATATTTTAACGAGTGGACGGTTCGACGGACATCTCGTGCACTCTAGATGGCAGTAGTGAGTTAGGCAATTGAGAATTCAAGTTGGCAGGGAAATTGCGAGCTCCCATGTAAGGAGCAACACACATTTACCCAAGTATCACTGAAGTCGCACCAACATCTTCTTCACAGTATAAACTAGGCGACTATTTCTTTTCCAGTCATTCAACAACTCAAATTTCTCTGACGAGGCCTTAATGATTGAAGCAATTGTCAGAAGGAATAAAACTTCACTGCTGGAAGGAGTCTCTTGCTGCTGTTGTGTGCAAGCGAGTGGATGTATGTGGTCGTCCACAGAGTGTAATAATGGTGGTAAAATATAAATGTCAACGCAGCTACCTGACTATCCGCAACAAAGACATAAGCAATGACATGATCAGTCACGCTCGAATTCCGCATGCAGCCTTGCAGGCGCTGGTAAAATGGATAACACGGAAAGCACGAAAATTAATAACACAAGCGATCGTGGCAGGGAAACAAATAAAATTCAAATAAACTACTTCAAAGAATGATGGAAAGTGAAACGACTAGCACTAAAATGAGAACAGAACTCAGACCAAGAACAATGGAGGCCGAGTGGAAGCAGATAAGGATTGGTCTGGCCATGCCTAAAGTGATTATGGGTCATATAAAATCTTGTAGGACGCATCACGCAGCTTCATAAGACTAGTAATATATTGGTTGTGAGCAACACTGGCTCACAACCAATCTTTTATGGTTCATATAGTTAGTCAATCATACACCACTGGAACAACGGCCAAAACCTGGCACTTACCCAGTATGAGTTTGGCTGTGAGGTTGTATCGAAACCACGGAGTAGAAAAACAACGGTTTTACAGTCGAAATGGTTCATTGACCCGGTTATTTAAATGCAATTGAAGCCTGTAGAAGTCACATCTTGAACAGTCAGACGAGCATGTATGCACGACTGTTCAAACGCCGAGTTTGGGTAGACAGCCACTGCTGACAGGGACATTTTGGCAGAACAAGCAAAAACAGTAACCTCCCGGGTACGACGGGCTTTTCGAGTGCTCCAGACGCAGTCGTGAGTCGGTTAAGTGTCAGGCCAGGCGACAGGAAGCGCGAGCTCCGACATTGGGAGAATGCAGTTTCTTCACAAATGTACCGCTGACTCATTGTCGTAACATCTTAGCTCGACTTCCTACACACTCCTCAAAACATTTCCTACCACTCCTCAATGGCTCAAAGACTTCTAAACACTCTCTGACTAACGCTTTAGTGCTCGGGATCAGCTATCAGTTGATCGACAGTTTTTTTTCCATTTTCGATGTGATGTTTCCAAGAAAAAATATCTGGGCCAAAAAGTTGGTCCGGCCATGGCTGGATCGTACAGACCAGTTCCGCCTGCCGTTAAATTGAAGCAGACTACGGATGACGCTGCATTGAAGTAAGAGGCATGACACACTCATGATAAATGGCACCACAACAAATACTTCCTCCTTTAAGAAAAACTTCGTTGCGTTTTTACAGTTCAGTCCGAATCATTCTATGGCTATGAACACGCTTTGCAAAGTGGAAAACAATTCAGCATATGAACGATATTTACTTGCAGATGTCACACCGCTCGTTTAAAAGCAGTCCAGCTTCACTCTTCGTCTCAATCTGATGACAACTCACTCCCTGATGACATTGAGTCTGCATCCTCTCTGACTTTCGCCGCCAGCGCTGCAATCTTTTGTTCCGCAGCCTTTACAAGTTTCCAAGACACGATTATTTTGATCGTGGAGATCGCCAAGCTCTTCGCTCGAAATGTGAGCTTGACAACCTCAACGGTGGCACTGGTAGTTGTGGCCACTCTCCGGAACGCCATGAAAGGAGCCATACAGACCCAAACAAACGCTCACCATCTTCACAGCTGTGTAGTCGTGCCAGCACGTTTCCACACCCTGCAGAAGCTCCTTTCTGGTTTCTTTCGCCACGAGTGACACGTCTGTCTACAGGCTGTGGAAGAACGCCAAGCCGTAGACGTTGAGATCAGGATTTTGCGCCGACTGAACAACAACCTGAATGTCGAATGCTTTTGATTTCCCCTGCGCTGCGAACACAAGTGCATTGATTTTGGCTGTGTGCAGATGCGCACCATCGACTCAGCCTGAGCGCTGGCCGGCTCCTGGACACTTCTTCGAGCCACGCGTTCTTTCAAACTGTTTCTCATTTTCGCACTTTGGTGTCATGCGCGCTTGCTTGGGGTTGTGTTCTGGTGACATCCTGTCGAGAAACGGTTCTGCTTCGCCGATTTTTTTTCAAAGGACTCCACGCTTTTCGGAGGTTCAAAAGATTGTCAGAACAATGGACGACAACCGTCAGCTACCCTATGTAGGGGATAGATCACTGACATGTATGTCTAATGTCGACAGAAATTTCATTACAAGAACACTAAAAACGCAACGAAGTTTTGCTTAGCGGAGGAAGTACATATCACAATATTAGTTTCTACACATATTGACATTGTATTGTCAGAAACAGTCAGAAGAATGCTGATAGCTCTAGTGACATCCAACATACGGATATTTAGCTCATCATCACGTGTATGAGTCAATTTCTGTAATGACCAACTATCACCCAGAGGCCTAGCCAAAGCCGGCTCAGCGGGCAGAATGCCGGCTGGGAGGGCGACCTGCCGGCTGAGACAGCTCCAAGGGTTATTTTGGCCGGCTGGAAAACAATTGAGATCCAGAGAAATTTTCAGTTTCTACAAGTACAAGTATTTGTAGCATGCTGTGTTCGGGGATCATTTTTCTTTCAATCATGTCACCAAGCCCACTATCCTCCGCCAAGGTAAGAGTCGACCACTGTCAGCTGTCGAAAATAGGTCCAATTGCTGCCACTACAATGTCCGAATAATCGTGGAAACAGAACGACCGGCACGGCGGCAGCAGCGAAGGCGGCAGCAGCGAAAACTACTTCCACTGTACTGGCACTGCACTACAGTGCACTGTACTTGCGTAGATCATAAGTGCACTGCACTAGCACTTGAGTCAGTAGATCTACGTAGCAGTGGCTACTCAGGCTCAGTGCTAGCTCTTCACTCACCCTGAAATGCACTTGAGTACATGTACGTCGTTGGTGGTTCGCTGCTTCCGGTGGGTACACGGCTGTGACACTGACAGCTACAGACTCTGGACTGTCATATCGTGGGCCATTCGTGGCTAGGCTGGGTCTGGGTCTTGTGCATGCTGCATTTCGGAACACATGACCATCGGCATTGTACACTACTCCAGTTGTTTTGGCGGACCACTCCGGCACTGGGTTGCTTTAGTTGTGGCACTTCAAGTAGTTCCTCCACGTTGTTTTAGTGAACACATGATCCATACTGATGTAGCTGGTTGTTTCCTTTTTCATATTAATTATTTTTGTTAATTTACCTATAATCACAATGTCATTGTCACAACTGCCTGATAAATGTCCATAATTGGACGAAGCGAAAGGAGATGCAAGCTGCAGTGAAAGATTTGTAGTGGTGTGTGTGTGTGTGGATATGTGACTGATGGCGGGGGTGTGGGGGCGCAGCCCCCAGAACGATGCATTTTCACTAGAACGTTGGCGCCGGCTGGCATAAAATCCTGGCTAGACCTCTGATCACCTGCAAAATTTCCAATTTCATTCAAGTTTGATCTCTTTTTCACTGGTTGGCCTACATCACCCTCTATGATATTTTCGCAGAGGGACCCTCCGTTCATTGGCTATTGGACAAAGTCAAATATCTGCCTAAAGTATGCACTGAAACAAGGAACAAAAATTAATGACTTGCACAAAGATCTGAGCCGTGAGTGAGACAGAGCAACTTTCACCTAGCTCAGTGCACCCAGCATGCAGCAGTTATTGTGCCTGTTAACATCGATGGACACGAGTCATAAAGTACAGTCCATGTGGCTTTACTTTTCTGAACTTTCTACTAGTTCTTCTCAATTTAAG